GGATGGATGGATGGATGGATGGATGGATGGATGGATGGATGGATGGAGTTTCCAAACCTGCCATATCATATTGTAAACACATTGCCCATGAATGTATACACATATGTATATGTAAATAAAACAGCAAGAATATAACAAGACACATGCATTTAAGTTTGAAGTTTACCAGAAGCCGCATAAGACCACAATTTTAATTAATATTAGATAAGGCTTTACTCATGTGTTTCTCTATCTTTTTACTTTTGACTGCGTGTTTATCTGGAAATGTAAATAATTGAATCATTCAGCCCCCCTGCAGTCTCAGATATGACCAGCAGAGGTTGATACAAATAAGCAATTCTGACAAATAATCCTCTGTTCAAGAGCCGATGCAGTGATGAACTAAAACTACATTTTTAATATCGTGAATGCAACATTTTTATTACTTTGTTTCATATTAAAAACAGCAAATGGATGGAATGGTAAATGGACTTATACTTATAGCGCCTTTCAATATATTTGACCAATCAAAGCGCTCGTATTTATCTAACTATTTGCAATTGTTTTTTTTGCATTGGTTCTCCTAAAGCACTTGGTGGGTTAGGTGTTCATCATCTTTGAGAACATATTCTGTGGTTATTCACGGTGTCTTTTGGCTTCTGTGATTTTAACGAATCAGATCCAAATCTTTCAGTTACCATCGGTCACTCTGTCTGAACTTATGGTCCCACTACATGTCTGCAGAATGTTTGCTGTTGTGTAAAAAAATAAAAATCAATCGTTGTTCTTTCATAATTATTCATTTATCTCCACACAATTACGACCGTCCAGAGTGTATATCCCGCCTCTCGCCCCTTGACCACTGGGATAGGCTCCGGTCCCTCGCGACCCCGTTAGCGGTCACGAGAATGGACGGATGGACAATTGTATCTATCTTTTATGTGACAAAGCATCTGAAGGCATATCGAAGATCAAGTAATTGTAAAGGTTCAGTATTATTTTCCTTTAGACTATGAGGTCTGCTAAGATATTTTCTCCTTTATTTAAAGTCTGCACTTTTTAACACACTTAATATAATGTGTATTGCAGTCATAGGTTAGGTCAGCACAACCGAATTGTGTAGTATGAAATACATTTTCTTTTATATTTATCTGTCTCTTGTTGAATGACTAATATAAGATTTAAGTTAACTCGAAGAGTGATACGAGTGAACCAGCCAATCACCGAAATTGAGGTAGATTTGGATTTTGTAGTTTCTTTATTTGAGGAACATGGTAGAATTCTGAATCCTATAGGGTCACTTCGTGCAATGAGAGGATAACCATATTTTTTTAATCCACTTGGCGCTTCTCAGATCTAGAAAAAACACCTAATGATCAAACCAACATAGGCCTAAATGATCCACACAGAAAGATACTGTAGTATCGGACCGTCACCCAGGAAGAGAGAAGATTTGAAAAAGCACACTATATCTCCTCTCAGATAACTCACTAAATTGAAATAAACGTGATTCCCTTTTTAACATCTCACCATACGGCCGATGAACTTGAGAAAGCCATAGCCTATTAGAGCCTTTGTGTCCTTATTTTTCTGTGTTTGCATCAATCCGTGAAGGTCAAGTGTGTGCATGCTTCTTGGGTTCGGTAAAAGCTGAGGGCAGGAAAAACTCAGAGAGGAGGAGGAGGAGCCATGACGAGACTCTTAAAACCAAAAGCCTATTCCTCCGCTCAATGCCAAGGTGACGCGCTGCGCGCCTGACAAATCCTCCGACCCCCCCCCGCCACTCTCCACCGGGCGTGCACACGGCTGCACCGGGCAGTGTTGCTCAGCCAAACTCAAAACGTCAGCCTTTTTTTACCCAAGAGGAGCAATAACTGGAAAAAAGAAGCAAACAAACCCCGACCCGTTTAGAGGAACCTGTCGGTGCGTAATTCCCGGGGGTACCGCGCGCCTGTGCGGGGGTCTGCGGACTGAGGCGGTGCCCCGGGGGGGATATGAGTCCCGGCCCGGGTTAGTGAGGGGGGCTGTGTCCGGTGTCCGCAGCATGCAGCATCCTTTGGATATGGGGGCGCACTACTACCCGCCAGAGGCCCTCCCGGACCACAGGACGCACCGGTACCGGAGCTTCATGATCGAGGAGATCCTGACCGACCCCCCGGAGCACAAGGCCCCGGCCGGGGAGCTGCTCAAGTTCGGAGTCCAGGCCCTGCTCTCCGCCCGGCCCTTCCACAGCCAGCTCGGTAAGAGGGATACCACCCCGAAAGAAAACCACCGTTAAAAATAAAGGATCAATAATTGTCTTTACGATTTGTTGTTATTATTATGGTTTGATGTTTGGAGATTTTATTTATGTGAATATATGTTACAGCCCACAATGCTTTTATGATTACATCTATTATTAAATATTGGTTAGAACAGTTGTCCATTTATGTGTTAGTTTTTGGTAACAAACAGCAAAGAAATAGCTGTAAATTAAATCAATTAGAATATTAGACTGTGGTTAAAAGATGCTGAAAAAAGAAACGGGCAAACTTACAAAATCAGTCTATTTTTATGTTGAAAAGGTTTAAGACCGTAAACTTGTTTTTAGTTTTGTAAGGATTTTCTGGCATTTTGCAGCCTGAATTGCCTCTGAAGGGAAAAAAATAAATCTTTGTATAATAACAATATACCATTGTATCCATTCAGTATTTACTCCAAATCTATAGGCAAAGTGGTGAAGCAGTTATTTTTTATAAAGACTTATCAAATGTATTATTTTCTGTTTCAAAGTCAGGAGATCCACTTTCGTCAAAACTCTCATTGTTGTCATTAAATAGTCTACACAGACCTGTAATTTTTCTATAACAGCATGATATTCTGAAATATGTTTTAGTCTAATATATGAGGCTTATTCGTATTTCGTCCCAATTTGCGTTTTGACTCCAGTAAATAAGCATTATAAATTCATAATTCCTTTTGTTTGTTTTTTCAGAGGACTGAAATAGCCCACCCTATTTCTCTGTTTGAATTTGAATTATTTCTAATTCAATAGAATTAATTTAGCTATAAACCTATACCTTGATAAATTTCGATGGGCAAATAACAAAAACAGCTTTATCATAGCGAACAATAACAGCCAGTCAGAATGATTTTTTAAATGTATCTTATTTATCTATATTAACTTTTTTTATTGGTCTATTTTTAATTAAATGAGTTTCTTTGTATGTCTCCGCTCTTACACTGTTTTAGTGCTAAAGGCCGACCAGTCCAGTCTGCTGAAGTTCCCCATGTCCCCCCTGTCCTGCTCGCTGGGGCCCCCCCTGGGCCCCCCCCTGCTCTCCGCGGCCCCGGGCCTGCCGGGGGGCCCCGCCGCGCACCACCTCCCGCTGGACCTGCACCTCCGCGGGAAGCTGGAGCCCGACGGCGGGGGCAAGGGCAAGAAGGGCCGGCGCAGCCGCACCGTGTTCACCGAGCTGCAGCTCATGGGGCTGGAGAAGCGCTTCGAGAAGCAGAAGTACCTGTCCACACCGGACAGGTGCGCGATGACCACCGCCCGCTGTCCGTCTGTCCAGAAGAGAAAACAAGCTGGATAGTTAGATCATTTAGATTAATCAATTGAATCGCCTTTCCACTTTAGATTGTGGTCAATATGATTATATATGGACCCTCGAATGATATTAATGTTCTGATTGTTCATGTGTACATTTAAGTTGCTCTGGATAATATAAACTTTACATTTTCTACATTAAAACAAGGTAGTTTAAACTTCAATTTAGCAACTAAAGCATCAAAAAGTTACAAATAAAAATTGTTCAAAATGTCAGTAAGAGCAACAGATCCAGATGTGCAATCTAACTATGTTTTTTTTTCTGGGAATAGGGATCTGATTTTGAATTTAGATACAAACATTCTCAATCTATTTATGTGTTTGCTTCACAGAATAGATCTGGCGGAGTCTCTGGGTCTGAGTCAACTGCAAGTCAAAACATGGTACCAGAACAGAAGAATGAAATGGAAGAAAATTGTAAGTTGGGGATTGATAATGACGATAATGATGATGGCACGGCTGTAATGCAGTATGGGATGTTTTAGTACAAGATAAACACGGCAATAATTGAGGAGTTCAAGCACCAGAAAATGTTTTTGCTTTCAGAAATAGTTCAGTGGAATAAAATGTCAGTCACACTCTGTTAGTTAGAAAGTGCCCATGTTGGGGAATGATTTAAAATCCTATTTAATACATCAGGTGAGGGGTTTAAAGGTAGTAAACTTTAACATAAAACATCTAATTTTCTATATTTTGGGGATTTGCTACACTTAACGGCAATTAAATGCAGTAATTTCATCCCAGGCAGTTTTCTTAGATGTGTTTTTTGTCTTTTTACTCACTTCTTTTCACTCTGGACCCACAGGTCCTACAAGGCGGAGGCCTGGAGTCCCCCACTAAACCCAAAGGTCGCCCCAAGAAGAACTCCATCCCCAGCAGCGAGCAGCTCTGTGAGCAGGAGCGCTCTGCTGCGGATACAGACCCCCAGTCTGAAGGCCCCAGCTCCCACTCAGAGAACACGCACGAGGACTGACCTGGACCCAGACTGATCTGGACCCAGACTGACCCGGACCCGGACTGATCTGGACCACAGGACTGGACTCAGCTTGGGGAACTTTGGGATGCTCAGTACGAGTGGAGAAAGCTGTTTGCCGGAACCGTGTTGTTTTCCGTACACAAAAAACTCCACACAGACTCAGGAGCAGAAATGAGTGTGTGTCCTGTAGGACTCACGTTCTGTGCCTTCCCTCCTGATGAACTTCTGCTGTTGCTGAGGAAACTCAAACCTTCAGTAGGTCTTTCTTTTATATTCTAAAGATCCGCTCTCCTCTGTTTTGCATTCCCTTTTGTGTAACTATGCCATGTTTAATTATTAAATATATTTTCACTAATGCTGTTTTTCAGTTATTTCGAGGAAATGTTCATTTTTAGTTTTAAATGAGCAGTCAGACAGTTTCACACAGCCTGAAGTGATCAGAAAGAAATACTTCAGTCTGCCATTAAATATAATGTAGCTTAAATAACAGAGACAAAGAGAATGAGGCCTTTTAGGTTTGGCAATAATGAAAATTAAAACGATGGATTCCCTGGTTTTATTTGGATTGTCTGTTTTAGCTGGTGTTAATGTCTATTGAATATGAAAGAAGGTACTTATTTGACTAGCTGAAAATCCACAATCTGATTGTTTGTTGTCTGTTAAAATGCCTCTCAAGCTCTAATTAATCAGTTCTTGATTTTTATTATTTTGTGAAATAATACAAAAACTTTTAGTGAATCTGCTTCTTAAAAAAAGTGACATGGTCAGCATTTATGGGAAGCCTCCTCTATATGAATCAATTCATTGATTTAATGTAAGGTTTCTTTTTACTAATTCAAAAAAACATTGACAGCCAACTGAATCTTTAGCTTTTATTGTGTAAAACAAATGCTGTTGCAAGTGTTTACAGTACAAAATAATATTTTTCAGATATACATTTGCTCTATTTTTCCTTGCTTACACAATCTGTGTTTCATAGACTTAAATAATTTAATAATCAAAGGACTGACATGCAATCTGAAACTAAAACTGACGCCTTTGTTCTCAAATGATATGTCAAATGATGCCATATTTTGGAGTATTTAATTTTTTTTTACAGAACTTTTATCCTTCATGAAACGATTCTGCAAATGCCCCCTTTTAATTTTAAACAAAAAATCAAATTCATGACCCTTTCTTCAGTCGTTCAGTTCACAGTCCCTATCCTTAAAAATATATTTCCTGCCTTACTTATTAAACTAATATTATTAGCACACTTCTGAAATTAAATACAACTTTATTTAACTTTATTTAACCTCCGCACCCCCCAACCCCCAAACACACACACACACACACACACACACCGATACACACACACACTCTCACACACACACACAGCTCTGAAGATGAGCACAAACACTATATTGATTCAAACATAATTCACACCTCCTCAT